GGCTGATACAGAATCAATTTTTTAAGCTTAGTAACAGTTTGAAAGCAATAGGACACAAATATTGTCCCTTTACAATTAAACCATATTTTTAACAGGTTGCAGCAATTATGGTAAATATATTTGGTGGTATTATGAGGTGTGACATCATAGCACAGGGCATCATAGCTGCTGCAGAGGAATTAAACCTAAATGTGCCGTTAGTTATCAGATTGCAAGGTGAGAGTACCATTATCACATCCAAATAATTACCGGGTACTACCATTTAAGTGAAATGCACTGTGACACCTTGACTGAAGGACCGAAGTGAAATGTTCACTCCTACAAAGTTAACTGTTGCAACCTATAAATCTTATTGTTGGAATGTTGAAATATGTTCATGTTGAAATGCGCACAAGCAATGCGTGAATTGGTATCCCTGAATTCATCAATCATGTTATAAATAGACACTAATTTAATTAACTGTTCACAGAAATTATTTGGTGAAATATTACCTTTAAATTTTTTCTTTTGTTACACCAGGTACCCAAGTCGATGATGCAAGAGCCCTGATAGCTTCCAGTAAACTACGTATATTAGCCTGTTCTGAGCTTGATGAAGCAGCTAAAATGGTAAGTTAATTCAAGGACAACCAAATTGTTGTTGTCTCTGTAATGATGAGAAGGATGACATCAAGCTTGATGTTGATGATGACGATGGCAGCGGCAACGAAGATGATGATAATATTAAAAGCTTTTAAATGAAAACTCAGCGTCTTAATTCATTTCAAAACATAACTTTTTAGCTCCGCTGTCGACTTTGTCGAGTGGAGCTTATCATATGAGTGATTGTCCGTCGTCGTTGTCGTCCGTGTCAATGTTTTATCTTTTTGACTTTTTTGACCACTCTCAGATTTGTTCATTTTTGTGATGATATCTTTAATTCTCTAATTTTGATGAATATTTTTGTCATTTTTGGTGAAAAATGCTATTTTTGAATTCTTGTTGAAAACAGCAAGTCTGATTGCTTTGCTACTATACATATTGTTCATTTTCTAATGATATCTTCAGTTCTTTAATTGTAAGGTGCATTGTTAACAGCGGAGCTATCTCAGCCGACAGGCTGCTTGTTTTATCTAACACAGCTATGCTTACTGTCTGTTTTAATTTTATTTCAGGCTGTTCGGTTGTCAAAAATTGTGAACTTGGCGAAAGAAGCATCTGTAGAAGTCAAATTTAAATTACCTCTTCTGTAAAATACAAGACAATTCGATCTTAATTTATTTTATTTATTTTTGTGTGTACATGTACCTAGTACTAGTAGGAATACAGCACTTTGGCGCATTTGAGTTTATCTACACATTTACACGTAACATACTAAAAGTACTCCAAAATAATGTTTGTTTTTTTTGCCAAGTTATTATTTTAAATAAATATCAGTGTTTACAGTTTTATTTGTGTCGTGTTTATACTCGATTGCAAGAGACTTTCCAGTGAGGTGAATTGGATCATTGATGAAAACCATTTTTTATCTTGTTTTCCTTTTTGAAATAGTAATATTCATAGCAATATTGCTTGTGGTATAATATATTATGACTTAGGTACTTCCAATCCTGAAATGCTCATGCTACCGAACATGTACATTTTCGAGAGGGGTAGTGGCTGACAATAACTTTCCTATCACCATTTGATTAAGATGGTTGACTGGTAGTATAAAGCATTGCCACTGTTTTGGGACTTGATCTCTGGTGTGCATGGATGGATTTTTTTGAAAGTTAGTATAGTGCCTGAAGAATTTATTTACTAATTGCATTCTCATGGAGTAACTGCAAATTTTTACATATACAGGTACATTTATATTGCCGTATACACTCAAGTTCATGGTGATTTTTAAATGGTCTGAAATTTCTCTCTTCCAAAAAAATTACTTGTGCTTTTTGATATGCTGTGACAATGATGAAAGTTGCATTCCTACATTGTATGATCTGCAGAAAACTTCAAGAGAAATGTATTATCCAACATTCCTGGAGCATCATGATCTCCTAAAATAAAATGAGTCATGCAAAAATGGTCTAGAGTTATTACATGGAACAACAAAAATTATGTTTGATTTTGTGATAAGACACTGATATTGATGTGTCTGTCAAGTGCAGGCTATCTTCAGTTCTCCACTATTTCAGGATTTTATAATTTGTCATAGTGATCATAATAATAATTTGTGTATCAGGTGTTGTAATCGGGTGTTTTGTATGTAATCCAAAGTGTGAAGAAAGCTTTAAAAAAATCATGTATATACTCGGTAACAAATCAGAAACAGTAGTTTTTATTTAGTCAGCAACTGAATTTGCCAAAATTGTAATTATAAAATTAAAAAAAATCAAGTTATTGCAGGTTATTCATAAAAATGCTCATCTCATTTTTTTTTTGATGAAATTATCATAGTGATAGATACAATAAAAATATTACATATAATTTAAATATGCAAATAAGCAAGTGCATAGTTACCTCGATAGAGGGACTGTGCATCGGCCAACAATCAACTTGAAAAATGCAAATAAATAAAAAAAACTAGTCTTCACATTAAATGAATTTTTCTGTTGGCTTAAGTACACTAACAGATCATTTTATATTTAACACACGACCAAAGTGCTAAAAAACGAGCAAGCTGAGAGACGTGACACAGAAAGTTCATAAGTTCACTCATACATGGTGGATTGTGGGTATTCCAAACGCGCAGGCGCACTTGTAACGTCGCCATTTTGTTGACTTTGTTTCTGCTCGCAATCACCCTACATATCGTATTTTTCTTGAAAATGTTATTATTTTATAGCGTTATGTTAACATAATTTGTCGAACAGATCGAAGTAAAATCTCCATCCGTTACCGACCCACTATCACTATTGCAATATATAGACGAAAATATAATCTATGGGCATTAACTACATACAACGAATCGTAGTCCTAGTTCGTTCACATGAATGAATGACTGAAGTTGAAACACAGGAAACGTAATGGCTGGGAATTTTTGGAAAAGTTCTCATTAGTAAGTAAACCTGTTATGCTGATATTCAAACCGTTATCCCAACCTGTCAAATAATTTTGCACGATATTGATTGACGGACCATTTATGATGCTTGACACAAATTTGTACATCCATGCAGGGAGCTGTAATACGTCCGTCCGGAAAACTGTGGACCGGAAGACAATTTCCAGCATTATAATACCCTGTACAAACGTGTCAGTCAGCGAGCTACACACATGGAGCTCTATGCTACACCCTCCAACAACTTACTAGTAATGAACCAACACCGTTCTTTACATGCAGTAGAGGGGAAGATTGTACATTATAAATATTCTCACTATAGCGTTCAAAATACAAATATTCTCACAGACGAACCGGAACAGGAAGTCAGTAGAAGACAAAAGATTTTTTCGTTAGCTTGGGGGGAAACGGAGGTGTTAATTCGAAAATTCATTGTCTTTTCCTGTTTGTGATTGGTCCTGGCAACGTTTGGGGGATCGTGATGTAGCTCCGACTGTGAGAATAGCAACATATAAAAATAAGCAGAGCATCATGAGTATTCTCCAGTTTATTGCGCCCAAATTCCAAAATGCTGAGTGGTTATATGCCACTTTAAAATCACCTTCCATCAACCATTCAGCATAAACTTTTACAATTTATCACCCACATAATGCAAAATACATATATTCATTTACTATTCTGACTAGTAGCTTCGCGGTAAGTGGATTTCGTATTGGGTGGGTCTCGCGGGGAGTAGGGCTTTGTCGCAGTAACTGGTCCTTTCATCGTTGTTGAGAATTAAAGTTTTATGTTTCTTTAAATAACTTGCGCTATTCTGGGAATACCATCCTTAGAAGCTATTTATTTGCCCTTATGATTTGTGCAGTGCTCTGGCAGGAGTTCCAAAATAAGACCCTGCTCTGATAATGCCCACAGTTTCAAAAACCAAGAAACATTATTCATTATGATCTTATTGGTGTTGCAAAGGATAGTTTAATAATACCCATAACCGTTTTCCAATATAGATAAATTATTAGTACGTAACAAATATATAACTCAGTCTCAACAATGAAATAAAGAAATGTATATATATATATTTACATTATTAATAATGCATTGCAATACAACTACTGTACTTCCCCGAGCATAAGCCCCTCCCAGAGTATAAGCCAACTGATCATGCCACAGGTGATGTCAACAATAAAACTTTTGAAAAAAAAGATTATCCCAATGTCGAAAATCGAAAAAAAAATTGTTGAACATGCTTTTCCATTGTAACTGGTTTATTGGAATCGGTAAAACATCACAAATTCAAGCAGTCTGTACGCTACCTTACCAATCACACCATGACCGATATCAGACTTGAAACAAAAATCGTTTGAAGAAATGCTGATTCCAATGTTGAAAATAAAATTTGTTATGAAATTACTGAAATGACTGAAACATCAATAAAATTAAAAAAAAATCATTGAAAACTTGATGTCAAAAAGTTCAACTTGCTTTCCATCATGGCTGGTGACCTTTTGGTCAATTTTATTCACAGACTGCAGCTTAACTGCCGCCCTAATCATAACAATATTCCAAGAGAACTGAAATACTGCATTCTGGGTCATTACATATTTTGTCACTATTTTTGCACAACAAATTAGTGGATGAGTACTGATGAGTATTTTTTCTGATTTAAGCCATGACTTGTCTTTTCATTCTGTATAAAACTAAAAGTAATACAGTGAGCAGTTTAAGAAAAATGGAAAAACTATCATGCATAAATTATGTAAATTAGATGCTAATTATTGTGCAAATCCAGGGGAGAACACTGTGGATTATTCTTCGTGATTGGCTGTTTTAAATTCTGAAAAAAAAACTTGACAGCAATATTGAGGAAAACTTAATAATGCAAGAGAAATCAGGACGCTTTTTAGTCCCCGTTCGGACACAGTTGAAAACGAGGACTTGTGTTTTCAACCCTTGTGCGTTTCCGTGCCGGACCTGTATCTTAGAAATGCCTGGACCAATCATAATCAAACTTCACACATGCATCATACATGATATTATACATATGCACATCAATTTGTTCAAGATGGCCGAATGGCGGCCATTTTTGTGCTAAAAAGTCATCAAAATCAAGCATTTCTCGACTGTATACAGATGGATATTGTTCAAACATGTTCAGTTTATTTTTGTAGTTTACTTTCAGTAAACCATGCACACATACTGGTTGGTAGCAATAAATATGTCATTTTGGTTTTCAGTCAGCAATGGATTTTGGATAAACAAGATATTATGAGAGAAAGGCAAAAAGATTTAAACAACTTAACAGAAGAAGAGTATCAAAAACTAATGATTTTTTATGCAAATTGTAAGTACATATGGTACATGTGTCCCTCAATACTTTTTTAGTTTGAAGCTTGTATACATTGTATATTTTATTAACCTTTTCACCACCAGATTTTCTTGCTCAAATTAATCTTCACTTTTTTCTCTTACATGTACCATATATTCTTCAATATTTCTTGAAATGAACCCTAATTTTGGAGCCTACAGACAACATTTCTGTAAATTTTCAGTTTTTGAACAAAAAATTTGAGTATTTTTGAAAAGTGCAGACTATAAACTACACTATTTGGAGAATTTGGGATGAAAAGAGGAAACTGGTGGTGGCTAACAGGCATATGTCTGTTCAACATGAGTTGGGATTAGACTATTGAGAGTTAGGTTACATGTAGTTTTACACTACCTACGAAATGCATATACATAAAAAGTGTTTTTGAGCGAATACTCCTATAGAGCTGATAACACTGCAGTTACCTGCAACCTGTTACTGCTAAACCTGTTTGCTAGTCCAATGCATTTGATAACATGATGTGTTGTTGTTTTTTTGCCAGTAATACAAGCAGTGGGAGAACAGTTAAAAGTCAGACAACAAGTTATTGCAACAGCAACAATATATTTTAAAAGATTTTATTCAAAGTAAGTTATGAACAACTTTGAAGACCATCAAAAGAGAAAAAACTTACCTAAGAGCTTGTGACTCAGCTGGTCATGTCCCTGTGTCTTAAAGTTGTATTGTCAGCTAAATTTAATTTGAAGCTTTTGACATGTTAAGTAATATGTACATTGTATACTGTAATAAAAACAATGGTTTTTGCAAGATATTCGCTTTGCCAATAGCTTTGCCAACATCACCGAGCAGTTCTGTAGCTGTGGTTGTGGGGTTGATGATTGAAGATAACAATATTAGAAAATTAATATTTAAAATTATTAGTTATTCATCTAAATAATTGAGATTGCATACACTGATTAGATCACCTAAATAACACTTCAGATAATATCAACACTTAGAATTTACAAAAATTCATAATCATCGAAAGTGCTGTTCACATGATAAAATGGTTCACTCAAATTCATGCTAATGCTATATGGAGCAAAATCTGTGTGCTGTTCACACAAGTGTGGTGATCATTCTTTCTAATTTTCCAGAAACTCTCTGAAGAATATTGACCCTCTGTTAATGGCACCAACATGTATATTTTTAGCGTCCAAAGTAGAGGTAAGTGTTTCAAACTTTGTGATTTGGCCTGATCATCCCATTTGCAGTTGAGCTTCACATAATGTGATTATCATAACAAATGATAAAAATGGTTAAGTGTGATCACATGGAAAAATAATTTTTTGTTCTCCCTGAAACAATTTTCCTGAGGGAAAAATACAGAGAATGTTGGCATAAAGCTGTCTTGTATTTGCTCGATTAGAATTGTGGATCTCCAGTATAATTCATCTCATTAGCACATTATACCTGCAATCATTGCAAAACCATTTTTATGATATTTCAGATGTCAGATTCAATGTACCTGTGCATAGGTTCAAACAATGACTATATGAGTTACCCTCAGCATTGAGTTTGTATTATCTGTAGTGATCTGTACACACTGTAGTGATAAGCTAATTGAATGTACACCTGCTTTTGCTAGTACATCTGGTATGTGCTAAGAAATGTAATTCAATCAATTGTTGTCAGTATTCTACAAGCCTTGGACTGTTTGTGTCTTGTTCATTGTAATGTGTACGTGCTTGCTCTCACCCTGAGTCCACCCAACAATATCACACTATCCCTCACTATTAACATTTCAGTCTTATCGTATTCTGACAGTTTATTTATTTCATTTAAGGAATTTGGTGTTATATCAAACAGTAGATTGCTTACAGCATGCCAAACCGTAGGTAAGTGAACATACTTTGCTAGACTGCCTGCCAGTCTCTCCATAATTAATGATGTGTAACCATTCAGTACTTTTCTTTTAAATTACAATTCTATTTTCGTGAAAACTTATAAATCTCACATAATTATACATGCAACGGTATACTTGTTCTGGGTAAAACGGGGATGGTATTCTATGTATGTAAATTCCACCAACACATTGAAAGGCATACAGAGTTCTCTTACAGTTGCGAGTCCACCTGTAGTGTATATTCCTTGATTTGACACATTGGACTTGCGTACCTAATTTAATAAATCCTTTAAATGGGCATTGGGCATCAGAACAGGGGTGCATTGTTTGATCTAAGTTTTGTTTGTATATGCCACTGATAAAAATATTTTTAAGTTGTCTCAAACTATACTTATACTTAATTAATAACAAAACCTCCACACAATACAATGTATATTATTCTCTAACCTTTAATTCCTCCCCAGAACTGTATAATGCCTTATATAATTACAATTTGCATTCCTATGGCAAGACAACAATTTCACACCCCTATTCTACACCATTGAATATAGAATGACAGGCGTTGCATATTGTGTCTATGCATGTATTTAGAAGCTGTTGCTGTAATCGTATATCCATAAATGGTTATTTTCAGTTAAAAACAAGTTTGGTTATGCATATGGTAACCAAGAATTCCCATACAGGATAAGTCATGTTAGTTATTCATATTTCTATTTTTGTTGTATTTGATCGTCTCACCATTATTGTTAAAACAAATCTGAGAACCATATGGTGGATGTGTATCGAATAAATACTTTTCTAATTATATAGTAGCCATGTGGTATTGTTGCAGTATGTATTATCTACAGTCTGCACAGTATGATACTAGCAGTCTTACGATCAGAATAACATTTGGATTGCAGTCATTTTGGGGGTAAAAATTTTAGTGGAACATTTTTGTGTATTTCTCTATAATTTCTTTGTTAATTTTGGACCAAAGGGACCTATTTTTTTTATTGACAACAGACATTGATCAAAATTTTGCCAAAAAATATATATGTTTGGTTTAGTGAAAAGTGGCAGTTGACTTTGGCATTTTAAGGATTAAGTTGAAAAATACCAATCTGGATGTGCATGTCCATCAAACAGTGGACAACTGGACAATCCTACATTGGTGTATTTTTCACTCACAATACTGTCTTCTGGTTTTTTCCAGGTATTAGAATGTGAGTTTTTTCTCCTTGAGATGCTGGTAAGTACATTTTAAATTTACATATCAAATTCTGGTTTCACTCATACATGTATAAATATCTGACCAAAATGTATCATCAACTGTACGTTTTTTGGATTACTTTATTTCATGCATCAGAATACTTATAAATATAATTGTGTCAAATGTCACCTGCTCACTCTACTGTATTGATATGTAAAAAGTAGGGCGGTTGGTGTAGCTAAAAATGACGGAATAAACAGTATGTTAACTGTGAAAGCTCTTACCTTTGGATGTTTGATGTTACTGTAAACTTTTATCCTACTAGACATGTTTGAGATTTGACTGTTTGGCATTTGCAATGACTGGATATCATAAATCAGTGTGACTCCTCTGTCTAAAGTGATATATTCATTGCTACAAAATTGCCTTGTTTTTTCTTGCAGAATTTGTGAAAATTTAATTCATTTAAAAACCACTTTCCTATGGATTATGTCATTTAAATGTTTATGAACCTGTCGCAGTGTCCATAAATTACAATGTGCTGATATTTTCACATATTGCATAGTGGGATTGTGAAAATGTATAGTAATATGAGGTTATTACGAGGATACCTCAGAGTCAAAGGATGCATGAAGACTACAGCTGGAATATCGACCAACGTGCAGCGTACTGTCTGAGTGCATACTTTGAGGTATCCTCGTAATAACCTTATTATTATACATCTTTTCCTTCTAAGGATACATCATGATAATGCCGAAATCCAAAATTTTTAGAATAGAATCAGCGAACTTCTTTTTGTGTGGAGTCCAGTCAAATCTCGTGCCAACCATGTTTGTTTTTATTATCACAGGATGCTTACGCGCATAATCATTCCATATTTGGAATTCGCATTTCCTAATATGGTAGGATGAAAATACATGTACCTCGTAAAATACCGCAAAATTACGGCATGCTGTAACTTATGACCTTACAGTGACAGATGTATAATAATAATAATTATGAGAATACCGCCAAATATGAACTCAGACAGTACGTTGTCGCATTGACCTCCACTGTACAGTCTTTTTACAGTTCCTTGTAATAATCACATATTGCCACTTCGTGTTACATTATCTTCTATTGCTGTATCTAGGATTGTTGTATGATAGTATATCACCCGTACAGACCTCTAATACAATATGTACAAGACATGGGACAGGAAGAACAAGTGTTACCACTTGCATGGTAAGATTCTTCAAGATTCAGTCATCCATTTCAAATTTTAAGATACTGTGGAATACTTTATTTTCGCTGGAATTAATTTTCGCTGAAAAGACTTTTTGTGCGTTTTGTATGGAATTTATTTTCACTGATTTTTGATGAGTTTAATGTGAAATATAGGAAAAAAAGTATATTCGCTTGATTTTATTTTCACGGAATCATCCCTTCAACGAAAATAGGGAAAATAAATTCCAAGCGAAATTAAAGTATTCTACAGTGACTCGTTTGTTGAGCTTATAATAATTAACTGATTTGTTTCTCAGTGGATGAATATTGTGGACTTATGAGTCACACACAAAGTACATGTTTATATTGATAACTGTATTAAACATGTGTCTTCAGTGTTATTTCTATGATTACTTCCTACAGTACAGCTCAAAACTTGCTTACCTCTTATGGGTTAACGCTGCATTAAGATCGCGTTATAACCATGCCAACTCGAGGTAAACGCATGTTAACCTGGTTCTAAGGCAAGCAGCTCATTTGATAGCATTGTTTGCATGCAAATGAAGAGAACAATGAAGCTGAACACGTGCAACAAAAATATTTCAAGACATTAGATGATTGCATAATGAGTTACATTTTGAATAGCCTGTTGAGGTGGTATCATCTCTAGTTATTTGGATAACCATTCATTCCTGGCATTTAATTCAGGAAAAATATGTTTCATCAACACCAAATAAAAATGCAAAAGTTATTAATATTGTGACATATGACGTATGACATATGCCTGTATATTAAGACGCCGGCACCACACTCAGGGCTGAGAAACGCTGATATATCATCCTTAAATTGAAAACATCAAGGCAAGATCAGTCATTTTTACCATCGCACATATTATCAAAATGCAAGCTGGCATGGATATTTACTCTGGATAACCACCCATACTGTCATGTTACACACATGTGCAAAAAATGGTAAAATGTCCACTGTAAAATAAAAAAAAAGTAAAACCAATGTTAATTAGCCCTTCGTAACAAAACCAGACATCATGCCGGATATACTTTGCAAATCTGACAATTTTACTGCAAACATATTTGAATAAGAACAATAGAATTAACTTCAGGCAATCAACGCTGAATAAGCTATTATACTGGCACGTTAGCCTTGCGTGCACATACGTTAAAAAGTTAACATGGCGTTTTGAGCTGTAATATATGTTAGCAGCAATTATGAGTTTTCTATCATTGAAGTGCTGAACAATTTGCTTTTGTCAGCACATTATTACCACTACACATTGTACAATCACAAAATGGCATCAATATTATATCATTGAAGTGCTGCTTCTCGATCATGAACAATTTGCTTTTGTCAGCACATTATTACCACTACACATTGTACAATCACAAAATGGCATCAATATTATTACATTGAGCATATTGAATTTAGTAGTATTGTGATTATTTTTTGTAATTCTTTCATTTTGCAGGCGTATTGTAAATGACAGTTTACGAACTGATGCCTGTCTTCTTTATCCGCCATTTCAAATTGCATTAGGTGAGTTGAATCGCACAATGAATATGATTGTACATATTATTAAATTGATTTTGGGTATTTTTTTACCAAGTACAGGCAATCATTTGCCTGATGTTGTGAAGGCAGATGTTCTTTTTGCGCTGAGACACAATCTCCCATATTTATGACATGCTTCTCAGATGACATGTTTACTCTCCAAAAGAATCACAGACATCAACAGTTACCTGAATTCAGTCAAGCCTTGGTGATGACAGCCATTTTTAATGACTATTTGTGATAACAGTCAATACAAGCTTAAGTGGATCAGAGAATTCTAAATCAATCTTGTATGAAGTTGGGTTGATTTAATTTGCTGGTAATGTTCACCAATCGTCCAATGCCTCGACTGGCTGTTGTACATCTTAGCTATGATTACTTCAGCACAAATGTCAAGTCATTCAACGACTCATTCAGTGTATGTAACCACAAGTGACTTGAGTCAGTCTATCCCTAACCAAACCACTGAATCGGATCTTGCTTGATCTTCAACAACAAGAGACTAGAATTGCAAATGATACACTTTAAAATTCTCAATAATGAACTTGTTGTAATAGTTTATTCCTCCTTGATTAGAACATAATTTTAAGCATGGACCTCAGCGAAAGCATGACGATTGCACAGCACAGGTCGAGCAAAGAAACCAATTCATCAATAATCATCAATAGTTTTCGAAATACACATGTATTACTATGCAAGGACACATAATTGTGTTTGCTGACAGAAAACGTGTATCATTCGTGTATGGCTATGCCAAAAAATAAATCTGAAGTGATGCGGAAAAAATCTA